GTCGCAATATTAAGGTGACATTTACTCACTGGTTTTCTTAGTGGGAAGACTACCAAACCCAGGATGATAAAGCAAAATTTTGAGATTTAACCCTAGCTTTGAATACAACAAAAAACCTCTTTCCCATTCCATCAGTGCTCGTTCCTCACACGTATGTACAGTGACAGCACAAGCTGGTGCTTGTTTCAAAAGAACAGAGACACACACAGGAAAGTACCTCAGGGTGGGGATGGCCAGTGCTGAACTCTTCCTCTGCCAGCGAGGCTTTGCCTGATATCCTGCTCTTCTGCTGGTTACCCACCTTTCACCACAGCTCCCCTCAGACTTACTCACTGAACTCATGTATCTAACTTCAAGCCATTCAGTCCCTTTTATTTCTGTAATTCTTCTTCTACAATATTTTTCATCAGAGTGTATTTTCTAAGTAGAGCAGCTGTGGAACACAAATCTTAAAACAACACAAAATCTTAAAAGAAAGAGCAATATTGTCCTACTGTAAAATTATTAAAAAGTCAAAATTTACTCCTTTAAAACTTGGTTCTCTCNTTCACATCTGGTATTACAAGAGACATTTAATAATAATTACGGAACATTTTAGTGAAATCCTTCTTATGAACTCACTATTCTGTTTACTACACAAATATGAACTTTGAAGCCTATCTTTCCTTTCCATCCCCAAAATTTTAAACATCCTATTGTTAAAACAAACAAACAAACAAGTTACTAATTTCTGCACAACAAATAGTCCATCTGTTTATTCCAGTCAATGTAGTGGGATAAAGAATATGCAACTGTACCTAATGCTGTAAGCCAGGACATCAGTACCCTAAACACTTGACCTCCAAACAAAAAGAAGAAAGTATAAAGTATGCACCTAAAGCAGCATGCCATCTTTTAATTTTGCTGTGCAGAATATAATATAACCTTTACAGAAGTTATACACCATCGACTCATGCAGCAAGTGCTAAAACAACACAAGGAACAATAACATTATACAAATCAGCTGCACCTAAAATGCTGAATGTATTGCAATACTATAGTATTGCAATATACAGTCTTACTACCAGCAAATTCACAAAGCTCTCTTTAATGAAAATTATATCCAAGGACATAACTTGACTTTTAATCCAAGGATACAATTTAGCCCTTAAGTATACAATTGAGAAAAATATCATTAGGCCCAGAATTTATATTTCCTTCACATTCCTGCACTACTAATTTTAACTGTCCCAGAACTAGGCATAGGCATAACTGCTGGACACATTTAGTCCAAGATCTCAGATCTCCCTACTTCAGCACACCATGTCCACAATGATGGCAAGGGGAGCACGTAAGAACAAAGCTAGTATGTAGAGGATACATCCTCAGAATGCTGGAGTTTAAAGACAGGTAATGTCTTTCAATTTGGAAGAAAATACAGATTAGACAATCCAGTTTCTTCTAGATGAACACCTCTTTCTGCAGAATAACCGAATTAATATGTATAAAGCATATATATTCTGATATAAAGTTTCATTTTTAAGGATGTACAAATCAGTCTGCAGTTCTGGACTCTGAACCTGCACATGTTTTCAGTAACATTCATGATGTTAGCTTTAAAAATATAGTTTAGGATTACATTAAAGGTTTTCAGAATTGCATGTGTAAAACATTGAAGGGATCTAAGGAGCACTTTCCTAATTTGGGTATTACATTATGCATAGAAATCGCATCCTTGATCAAGCTTTAAAGTCAAGCTCTGTGAATCATGTTAAGTCAAAATAGTGACAGGTGAAGGCCCATTTCACAGTAATAGCACTGGGCTTTTTTGGCCACTGTTACCTATTTACCAAAGCCTGTTGTGCATTCTCATGGACTACAGCAAGAGTCAGCTACAAATTCTAGATTTTACAGATTTGCCTGTCTTAATGCATTTTACATATAAAAACCCCCAAACAAATCACCAAACCTAACACCCACCTTGCTATGTAAAAACAATGTTTCTTCTACTTCTCTATGGAGTTGCAACACACTGAATCTACTATGCAAAGAGCAGATTGGCTAATCTTTCTTTCTTTGGACATAAGAAAGAGAAGCCTGAAAGGAAAGAAGAGCAGAAGAAATGGGTAACATGTTCTGGGCACAAGTATCAATAAGCAACACTTTGAACTCTGGAGTTATGGAACCACAGAGCATGAGTTTTGTGGAAGTCTGAGTTAAACAACAGAAATCAGATTTTTTTCTGCTTTCTGCATGACCTTTGGATAGGGGCAGGGGAGTAAATAAAGACTATCAAGATGATCTCTGTTTACTCAAACAAGAATTTAGGAACAGCAATCATCAATGACATACAAGTTTCTACAATCACACTGTGTCTTGGAAAAAAAGATATGCCTTAATTCTTGCCCATTTCCCAAAGAGAGATATAAATCTCAAGTTGAAAGTTTCAATACAAATTGAATGAGTTGCAATAATTTAATTTTCTATTTTGTCTAATGCAGCCAGTCAAGAATGCATTTACTATATCTTTAGGGCTTTGTAGCTTTCCTGTTTATTTTAATAACAGTAGTTTCATGCCTAGAGCTCCACACATTGAGATAAAGACATCAAGGCACCTACACCAAACCCCACAGTGCAAAATGTGAATCGTAGTCTTTCTTGGTCTGTTAACATAGTTGCCATTCAGATATGTACAGTGGTAGCAGCCCATTGTAATATGAAAATTTGAGCTGACTGTAGAGATAGAAGTGTGAGTGAAAACACATGAAGACAGTACTTAGTTGATCAATTTCCTATTGTAGCCAATTTCACATTTTTTCCATCATTTAAAAGAACAAAATGCTACTGTCTTCCATTAATCAAAAATAAACATGGCATACAGAAGATACAGCCAGAAAGGAAGAAAAAGGAGAAGAGCATGCTGAAGAGGTGAGAAACAGATATATCAACTACAGGTACAGCCTTTACTCAGGCACTTCTACCTTCACTTACAGCAAGCACAACAGTATACCAGTCACCAATAGGAAAAGGAGCATAAAAACAAATGTAAAAATTACAGGGAGTTGGTTGAGAAGATAATGATTGGGGTGAGCAGCCAACTGCAGCTCAGAGTGCATCTTCTCTTCTTTGAGAGGTGGAATAAGACATTTCTGTAAGGCCTCCATGTTCCACTAAAAACACAGTTTTATCAGTGCTGAAGTTGACCCAGCCTTTTATGGGTGACTCAGGCTAAGGCTCACTAACACAAGCAGCTCAAACTGCAAAAGATGAAGGTGAGCAGCAAAGGAATGATGATAAGCACCTGGGGAAAGTTCGGAGTATAAGATCTTCCCTGGTATGTCTGCACTCAGAAAGCAGCCGATTTGTAACTCACCTATAGCACTACAGTACAAATATAAACTAAGTATTAAAGTTTGTTGGTAAAGCTTGTTGGGAAAAAAAAACAAACAACATAACAAAAGCACAGTCACGGACTTCTTTCAATATTTCCTGTGTTAAAACATTGAAAGAAAAAGGTAAAAAGGTATTTCTTAAAACAAAAGTCCTACTTGATGTATGTGTGAAGTAAACATGAATAGGTAATTTCAAGGTAGCAATGCTACCAATAAATACTGCCTGCTCCAAATATTGACTCAAGTGTCAGTTCTTTGAGATACTCCATGATCTATGTGATCTAGCAAAGTCTTGAAAATTAAATGTTGAGGGGATAGAAATCAGAGATTATCAGGCCATCAGTATAATCACAGCCAGAAACTCCAACCAAAAGTCACTCAGGCTTTTATGCTGAGTTTATGAACCCCATTTTGTTGTATCACCAATATAGAATTTCTAAGCAACAATTTGAAAAAGTAATACAGAAATAATGAAATTGAACTCTTTTTACTTAAGGAAGAAATACATATGAAATTTTTTTCTCCAGAACTTCCTCGTCACAAACCTACCGTCCTCTTGTATGGCAGGGTACTGCACTTCCTTAGCTCTCACGTATTTACTGTGCTTCCCCCTACGCTGTTGTCTCCCTCATTAGCCTACAGATTTATTTTCCATTCTATACTTCAGTGTCTCCTTTCTCTATACAATTAACTCCAGAAATTGTTAACTCTCACATTCTGCCAATCATATCCTATCTATTATTCCTAAAAACCCAAACATATTAAGGATATGTCACAGAAAAAGGTGTATCAAAGAAATGGGTAAAAGGGAAGGAGAAGCGTTTCACTTAAACTGGGACAAGACAGCTGGAAATTCAATTTCCTACAAAATGACCTTAATCAAAAGCTTGGGATTTCTAGCATAACTAAATTAGCTATTCTCAGTAAAGCCCATAAGGATTACATCTAAGACATTTCAGTAACTGATCGAATATGCCACTTCTAAAATATTTATTAAGCATTTGCATAACATATGATATGGCTTTAATTTCAAATTTATTAAAAACACACACACAGTCATTTCATACAAAAAACATACCCACAACTATAAGAAATAAGAGCTTACTATGCTTTCCAGTGGAAAAGCAGAAAGTTTCCCATGACTTGTTTTCTTTTAGGCAAGGAAGGAAAGTAATCTAATTCATCTAACCTAAAGAAACAGTATTACCTTGGCTAAATACAAGCAAACACCACTTCTGCCAGTGTTGTTGTCTCACCAAAAAATATTTGTCATTTTCCACTCACTCCACTTCCCTCCTAAATTAGTTACTATCTGCTTAATCTCAGCTGAGATCTCCATATTTCACCTATCGCAAAGATGAATTTTGGGTATAAACACAGCTCTCAGAGGCAAGGCAATCACTGCTGCAGGGTAACAGGAAAAATGTCTCTACATGGTTGCAATCATTTGCCTTTCACCACTTACTCAGAGCAAAGCAGCAAAAAAGTTCAGGTCATTTCCTGACTGGCACAGCAAGTTATAGCAAGATACACATTCTATTAATTTTTAATTGCATTGCTCGCAGACTGAAAGCCCAAAAGGGGAGTGTTTCTTTTTAAAGCGTAAAGAAGGGCACTGAAACTGCTTACCTCACTCAGCTCTGCAGGGGAGTCATTTCCATATTTCATAGCAACTCCAGAATTCATGATTAGACTTCTCAGGGCTTGATGATTTCTGCAGATTTCAATGCTTCAAAGCTTTGTTCAACTGGTTCAATACTTTCTCCTCCAAAATTTTTCCATCTGACACATTTTGCTCTAGACAGCCATTTTTACTCCACACTGAGAGTTTAAGTTAATGATGCAAGATTTTCTAAAAGAGCCAAACTCGTTTTGACTTCACAGACGATCCATTGCTGTGAGAGACTTGTTAATACTGTGGAGTGCTCAGAGAATTCAGAGAAGAAACTGCTTACCAGGACCTCGGGGCTGTCTTAGTCCATCTCCAAGGCATGCTTCATCTCTGCTGTCTGTTTTATTCTGCTCTTTTCCACAACTCTGTTGAAGGGCATCTCCCAATGCCGTTGAACATACTCAGAAAAATTTGATGAGCTTCACACAAGTCCACAGAGAAATTAAAAAGAAGGGAGCGCTGCTACTGTCTTCAGTGTTCACAGAGGGAGAAAGGAAAAGAGAAGAAAGCTCCCCTCACCGAGAGAAACCAGTGTTGCAATTCACGCTAAAGTTTCCCCTGCCAGTGAGCCTGGAGTTTAAGTGGTTTATGATCAAACACAGCTGTCTTGCTGCTGGCTAAAGGGTGCATGGAAGGGGCGGTACCAAAAGGAGAGTGGAAGTGGGAGGGAGAGAGCTACAGAGAGTTCATTTTGGAACTACAGGCATCTCTTCAGCTTTCTGCATACTAATTACTATACAGAAAACTATAGAGCTAAGTAACAGGAAATACCATCTGGATAACAATAAATTGGATTCCTATTTCCCTATTCCTGTCTGCAATTAAGTAAGGAAAACTGGGGTTGTAACGATTTCAAAGAGTCAGAGTAAGCCTGAAAGCACCATTAGAACACTGCAGATTTTACATAACAGACTGACATTTTACAAAAGGTTCAGGAGATGCTACTAGAAGGGGAGAAAAAAGCATTTGCTTTCAATATTCAACTACAAATCTAGAAAAATCCATAGCTGGATTTGTGGACATGCTGCACCCATTGCAAGAACTGATGATATCCTGTCCCCTTTCTTCCATCCCCTAAAACACAGGGGCAGCCCCACATACTTTGTGATGCTGGATTATGATGTACTTTTGGAATTAGAAGTAGGAAATACCCTACTGTGCAGCTGAAATTTATCTTATCATATTAATACAATGTATTATTAAAGTGTCAAATTAGTTAAGAAAAAAACCCCTAATATAAGAAACAGAAATAAATGCTGCACAAGCTGAGGCACAGTTCTTGCACCCTGGTAAAAAACATCTGCATGAGAAACAATGCACTCCAAATGCAGCATTTTGAAAATTATATTGTGATTATTTCTTTCTCCTCTATTAATCACAGATTAGTATCAGCATGCAGACACAGGAATAATTCATCCCAATGACAATACAGAAAGTGCCTTAAGAAGCAAGATAAACACACGGATATTGCTCTATGATAGTACAAAGCGGTAGCACTTTCTGGGTCCCTGTCATTCCTCCATGCCCAGCATCAGGAACTGCAACACTCCTCTGGAGGGTAATGGGAAAGCCATAGTCTCTTTACAAGATGTTTTACTTTCATCCTCCAGGTCTCTAGTTTGCTTTAGCTAGTCTGCATCCTGGGGTTTCCCTTGCTCTTTACATGCCCACCTTGCATCGCCTCCATTCTTCATTATTTTCCTCGTTGAGTCCCTGTCCCACCTTCACATTTAATTCTGTCTCTACCTTCAGTGCTTCTGTGTATATTCCTCTACTCATCTGCTTTGTTTCCAACATGTTTCCAGTTATGGCCACTCAAATCCCAGCAACGGGCTGCACTGCTCTCTGCTGGTAGATGGGTGGTGATGCTGGGACAAACTGTGCTGTTCTCCTCCAGTGGGTAGGAATCCAGGAAGATGCAGACTCCTCCAGACTACAGACTGAAGTATGGAACAGCATATCCACAGCACTGAAATGTGATTAACAGGTTTTTGTGCCCAGAAACAACTGACAGTATAGTCACTTAGTTCACTTTTCACAGATGAGGAAAAACCCCCACAACTTCAGTTCAAAAATTCCTGCAGCCAATAAAATAAATTTAAAATGTTTTATCTTTTCAAAATTATGCCTTCACAAACGAGGGTGAGAGTTTTTTGGTTTTTTGCATCACTACCCCCATCAACTTTATTTTCCCCTTTATAATCTGCTCTGCTCTGATATTTGTCCAATTCTGTCACATATATCACAGGTTCACCAACTGCAGGATGAGCCTCAGAATTACTAAGAATGAAGTTCTAAGGTTTCCCTTTTCTAAAGGAAAGTCCATATTAATTATGGCTCCAATACACTGCATTTCCCATACTATATCCCTATACTGCCAAATACTTCCCAGCCAACTGTGAACGGGCATTCAGAAATTAAAAGTTATGACTTGTTCTCTTCACTTGCCATTGTTTGTCTATTTCTGGCAGACCAGGACATTTCAGCAATCCTACAGACCAGACAGAGCACATGGTACCACAGATGCATCCCACAAGCATAGATTGTGCAGGAGACTTTGGGATCTGAACTATATCCACTGTAAACACATATGGTGCACAGGATTTTCTCTGCCTTTTTTCTACTCTATACAGTAACATGGTAGAAAGAGACAGAGAGACTGACTGAAAAATGACAGCAGAATTCACGGCTTCAGATGTGTGTAAGAACATGGAAGATACATGCAGGTACTTTCAGAACAAAGTTTATTTAAAATTTAAAAATTAATTGTAATCCATGTGCAAATGAATGAAATGGTTAAACCAAACTCTGATGAAAAATGACTCCCATTCAAATCTGCGTGCTTGCACTGAGTGGTACAGGATTAGATATTTCTCAGTTGGAAAGCATCAACTGTAAACTAACTGATAAAGACTGGCAATGCTTGTTTCAGAATCCTTATAAACTACTGAGGGCTAGCTAAGACTAAATGTAATAATTCTTCTAAAATAGCTACTAATATATCACATTTTTAAAACAGTAGCATCAAGAACATAGTCTGAGCACCTGAAGATGTAGAACTTGCTCTTCTGTGAAATGTCATTATCATCTAGCATTTCTCCAAGTCCATTTACTAACTGAATGAAAATGTTACATCACAAAATTAAATTCCCAGACAGACTTGACCAGCTGTCTGCAGGCTGTTTCACCAGTTTCAAATACATGTAAGTGACCTAATACAATAGCAGGGTACTAAGAATTTTGTTGAAGCCAAAGTATATTTTCCCATTGGCTTGTACCAAAGGCAGATTTCAAAGAAAACAAAGGAAAACCTCAAGTATGCCAATTTTGCATTGCCAGGAAATGAACAGACCACGCTGTGACCCAGTGAGAGAGGTGCCTTTTGGACTCAGTCCTTCTGTTTTGTCTGGCAGCGTACAGTTCGTTCTCTCTCTCCCTGCCTCAGCTCCTTGCCTAGGATAGCAATGCTTCCTTGCTCTCAGCCTTTTTCCTGCCTTCTCTTTTAGCCTCTACAGGCAGGGAGGGGGTTGATCTGGGTATGGGAAGAGGAATCTCTTAACCTACAGATGTACATTTCCTAGTCCAGGATGACATGGTCTCAGTGGATGCCTCAGTGTGTACTATGGTACACACAAAAAAGGGGTAACAAGCAGCTGGACAAACCTTTCTGTCACAGAGGCTTTCAGGAACAACATCCACCAAACGCTTTCCGTCAAGATAGTGATACTGGCCTGGGCTTCCACTCCCTCCCAGTGCATTCTGATCCATTACTGCCTTTTGTACCTCTAAAGCACTTATGATGCACATACTGCTTGTAGATAAGCACATTTGCACTGATTCTTCCCAAGATAATTTCAGAATTATGCAGCAACAACCATTAGTGTTGCCAGTTTGCTGATTGTTGATTTAATAATCTTATGGCCACTCTATTCCATTTGTTTACTCTTATCAAACTGTAGTGAAAGAAACATTGGCGCGTGTCCAAGAATCACCGTGGGTTTTTACTTTTTTGATTGTATCTGAATAATCACTTAGTAAGATTTGCTCTATCACCTGGTGTAAAAGGATTCTTTCAGGACAAGACACAACTCTGTCGCCCTCCTCACCTTACTTTTGAAACTGCCACAGAATATGGAAAACATTAGCAGTTATTTAGTAGTTATTTTACAAGGTTTCTCCCTCATAATATGTCACAATAATTACAACAGTCTATTTACTTAGATTTATTGGAGCAGGTGTGACACTAGGCACACATGAATATTCCTTCCTTGATTTAACAGCCACAGAGTGAAAACTACAGCATAAAAGCAATTAGCTATTAAATATGTATGTGTCATATATTCTTCATCATAATGTGCGCCATTTTCGGAGCAGCAGTTTCACTCTGCATGCAACATGCACGATTAGCTGATCACAATTCCAGGATGCATGAAATAAGCCCTTCTTGGTTGGTTCTGGTTAATTAGCTCTGTAATTGAAAAGCAACTAATTGAAGTCCACTGAGCATTTAGTTTCTGCTTGTTTGTTTCAATATCATCTCTGTAGTTAAAACATCACCCTGCACAATCCAATACACAAATAAATTACATCTTTAAGTACTGCAAATCTACTACAAACAGTTTGAGTACAATTTTATTTTCTTCTCATTCTTGCACAAAATACACTGGTGTAGTACCAAAGTCTAAATTTCCATGGACAAAATAGTAGCACTCAGAAGGTTAACATGAGGGCTAAACTTGGAAGCAGAAATTCAATACAGTAGTTGGATAATGTTTCCAGAAAAATCTTTATTCAATAGCACTAATGCACTATGATTTAAAAGGGAAAGGCTGAAAGGGATGGCAGGTTCATGATACAAACTGTTCTCATTAATGCTAGTGAAGGTTATGCACCTAGGTTGAGAGAAAAAAAATTCAACTTATCTGAAAGAATTGCAAGTAATCTTACACTGAAAAATTAAGCACTCTCTTGGAAGAAAATAGAAGCAAAATTTTCTTCTTTCCTTCAATCAAACCATCTTGATTAGTCTGAAACAGATAACATGTCTAGAATAATACAATTTCCAAACAGCACTTTAATCAGCTACTCTCACCTATTCACCCTTCCTCAACTACTTAATCCACTTAAAAAGTTGTATCCTTGACCCGAGCAGTCTCCTTGGGAGTTCACATTTGATCCTTCTTTCCATCTTCCAGTATTTCAAGCCATGAAGCCACTCACCAACCTGACAAACAGACACTTTCATTTCCTATCACTTCATCCAAACCTATCACATTCATTTTGATTCCCTCTGACTCAACAGAGCCTCAGCACCAGATGAGGACAGGAAAAGGACGAGGGCATCAATGTGTGCCTGTTATTCATGTTGGAGACTTGCCTGTGAGGACAAGGGGAGACAACAGCCACTTCTATGCTCTCTTCATGTTGCAGCCCCCTAATTATCATCACTGTTTATTTGTTCCTTGCTTAAAAACATCAACAAGGCCATTCTGAAAACTACAATTCATGCCATCAGACTTCTGCTTAGCTTCCCTTCACAGTCCAGCATTCCCTCAGTTCAGTCGTACATTCCTCCATTTATTAACCACAAGGTAAATTCGT